TTTGCCCAAATAGTGTTTGGAATATTTACAAATTGTACTTTTTGTTGCAAATGATATAACAGTAAGTAATTCTTATTATAGAGCTTCACTTTGCTTTGGTAAGATGATAATGGGTCACTCTCTTGCAGCCTAGTGTGAGACGTGTTATAAAATAAGTTATTTGGAAGCCATACCGTTTTTCCCCAGTGCTCTGAGAGCTGAGAACTTTTAAACTGAACTAGGATGCAGGCACATACAGTGCCACTTAGCTTGTTACCCATCATTTCTTGCCATCAGTAGTAGTTGGAAGCCATGCCAGAATCCACATGTAGCATTTTTTAGGTGAAATCACAAATGTTCTGTGACCCCCAGGGATTTTCAATTACAAGCAGTTCATTAGAAATTGCTTCAAAGTCACAATGATACTTAATCAATAACAAGTAATTCGATCTTAAAGGAAGTGAAAAGTAATAAAACCTGTAATAAAAGAGAGCAACATAGAGAGAGGATGTTCCTGGGTGCAAGAAATGTCACTTTTACCGTCTCATGCTAGGCTGTCTTGTGATGTTTCATGGCACACTCAAATTATTCTACAGATGGATGATCATAAAAACCAAGAAACTTTTTTTTTTCTTTCTTTTTTTTTTTTCCTTTTTTTTTCTCCAGATATACATCATAGCACAGATGAGCTAATATGTTTTAACATTTTTTGGGAATGTTTATGAATAAAAGTTGTATGTACTTTTAAGCTCATCTCTCTTTTTTTATATATATAAAGAGCAGTTGTATTTTGTGACTAGATCAGCAATTTGGGCCAAATAGGTCAGCCTAATATGCATTTCCCAATCCGCAAACGCATGGAATCCAAGGTTATTGGAGAAGTACACGAGGCACACATTAGCGGACAATATATGTGGAAATGAAGGGTTTACAGTTGATATGGAAAATTATGGCTTATATTCTCTTCATTGTTATTGTACATTGAAATAAAAAAGAACATACACTGTAAAGCATTATTGAAAATAGATGTCTCTGATTACAATTTCTCATTTCTTTCCATGCTTCCTCTGATTGACTATTAGAAATCCTTATTAGATTTATTATTACCTACATCGGTGACAGGAATCAGAAATATATACTGTTGCAGATTTTATGCAGATTATTTATGCTATTGTTGTAGATATATAAGTATTTATGTTTTTATTGCTATCAGTTTGATCGTTGGTATCATAATGTGCCCTTGGGTATGATTATGATGTTAAAGTCTGTTAATGTGTTGGTAACAGTGGTAATAATCATTAGTAGAGAGAGATAAAGAACTGGTTGCTGATTTGAATGCCATATTCCTTGACGCTCGTGGAATATAATTAAATCGTAAATACTTTTGTTTATGGGAACGTGATTTAGTAAAGAATGCATTTATTTAATAGAGCTTAGCAAACTATGGGATGTCTCACCCTTTATGATGTGTTGGAAGTCTCAGTTGTAGGACTGGAGGATTTTTTCTGGTTTATCAATAAATGAGAATGAGTGGCAAGGTTAAATCATTACGTTACATACTGGCAGACAATTATTTTAGGAAAATCCCTATTTTTGCTTTACTGAAGTTGAGATAGTTTGTTTGTATTTAAAATTGTTTTGATGCACAAACAATACAGTAGCTACTACATAATATGGAAGTTATGTAATAGTTTCACATGCAGTAGTAGAATGTTTTCTTCTGTATCTATTTTGTTTCCCAAATACGTGAATCTAAGGAGCAATTGAATAGTTAAGTGGTTCAGTTTAAGCTTACAAGTTAATTTCAGTCACCAAATCACCGTCATCATTTTCTACCAACTGATGACTCTTCGTGTAACACATGATTTCAGTTGGCCTTGCATCAATGGTATTCCGTTATTTAACCCCATACCTTAACTGTTTGCAGAGGGAACAGCTTGCCAATGTGTTGACTAGATGAAAAAAGTAGTATTTCTATGGATGTTGATTTCCAAATGGTGCCTGTGTAAAGAAAACAGATGTTTGGCTGTGTGTATCTGTATATGCGTGTGTATCCATACATGAAATGCACATCCATTTGCATAAATATGTATATATTTATAATTCTAGTATACAAAGGTTTGTTTATACACATCTTGCCATTTAAATAGGGTCATAGAAAGTTCTTTATGTAGCATTTGATAGTGCTTGGACCTCTCATATTATTTGCATGTTTCCTAGACTCCCACTTCATATTCACTTTCAAATATTGCTGTGCACTTTAACATACTTGCAACAACTTTACACATAGAGGCAGTTGTGTTAATGTTTTTCAGTATTCTACCTAAAAAAGCAGTTGTCAGGTTAGTTTCTTTACTTTTTTCCCCAGAAATGATGCCTTGTATGTGAATCCATCTCGTATAACCTATAAGCTTGTTTTCACTTGGTGGACACTCGTTACTTTTTCTTAAACGGGTGCTAGAAGCCAGAACTGTATTGTTAATGCTGAATAGCAATGGGATATTAAAGCTGTATTAATTTA